CGTCTTAGAATAAAATGATTTACAGTGTGATGCTGACGGAGTTTTGTTGGCTTTTTATTGTGTGTAGTTCTTTGCCTTTTTGGCCAATATGTTGAGAGAAATATTTGCTTTCTTTTAGAAACACAAAGTACAGATTGTCAGTGTCCTACCCCCTTTGTTACCAGCGACACAGGAGACTGATCTGCACTATCATAAAGTTTGGCTAACTCATGATGCTCCTGCTTGTCAGCTGTCCTTGGCACTTGAGGAAGAACTACTTTCTTCTTCTGCAACTCTTTCAGCTGAATAGTGAGCTGAGTGAAGTAGCCAGGTTTGTTTCGTGTGAATCCTGCCAAAACAAGGCAGTAAATGCTGGCAGATGGTGTTAAGATGGAATTAAAAGTCAAGCCCCCTTCAGATCTATGATGCATTCATATTTAGCTTTCCCATACCACTATTGATGGACTGTCAATATTCCTCTGGGTTTCATTTGTATTTACAATTTCAGTTTGCAGTTTGAACTTCCCATAACTTTCAGTATTGTTAAGAGTGTAGCCAGATATTCAGATTAAAACAAGCTTTTAAAATTCCATTTCATTATATGAACCTATCTGCTGTTATTGGGGGGAAATTTGTGCCATTCCACTAATATTGGAGTTTGATGTTAATTAAGGATTAGTTATGGTTCCCTGTGATTTATATCGGGAAGCATCATTCCTGGCTGTTACCACAAACCAGATGAAAGGGATATTTTCTCCTCTGAACTCAGTTGTTACCCTGAAGTTTAAAATACATATTTACAATATTTTGTATAGACTAGCCACATTTTTACTAATATTGTTTTGTGATGTTTGCCCCTCATGAAATGGTATTTCCAAGTATATCCCTAAATGCCTGGCGAAGCTTTTGAATGGCTTGCTGTAGCCATTGCAGATGAGTTCCCATTTTAGACCAGGAGGAATTTGTGGGGTCAAATACTGAACAATGAAGAGATTCTTGCTCATTGGGCGGCCAGAGGCATCCACTGGCAGTTGAGGGTTTGAATTGTAAATCAAGCCTGTCATCTCCTTGTCAACTACGAAAAACCTCTACTCATTTTATTAGGGTTTGTTATTAGGGTTTTGTGTTGTTTTCAAAAAAATTTGAAGACAAACTAGATTCATGAGGCATTCATTCTAAGTGAACTTTGAAAGAAGCCACAAAAATAGCACTATTTAGAAACTCTTAAATCATGACAGAGTCTACTACAATTATGACTGTATCTAATCAAAGTTAAGAGTCAATTAGTGCTTCTCAAAGGGTGCACTATTAAGGTCATAAGCAGCCATGTGTGGTTAATAGACTGCACTTCGGTAGTTTTAATATCAATAGCAATATTTAAGAGGCTGACTTTGTGATGAATTATTATATTTACATGAGAAATTTAATGACAACTAGCTTTCCCTTGTTTTTTTTTTTTTTCCACTAAAAGCAACTTTGACTTTTTCTTATTAAATCTGGTGAGATTTCTTTTCTGGCCATGATTGGGAACAGGTAGAAAGATAGCCTGTACAACCTTGTCTCATTGAAAACTTAGTTCTGAGCCAAAATGTTTTGAGAACCACAGCTTTAGGAGTGGAGAAAATGCAGTCTCTTTGGGTTTCTTAGGATGATTCAGGATTCATCATCAATCCCACAAACATTTACAAAATGCCTGCTATGTCATTTCTAAGCAATAGAGCCCGGGGATGGCAATTGCTGAGCAAACTTTGATTCATTAAAGTATTCCAAGTAGTAAAACAACTGAATGGAAATGTGAGGAGAAGGTCTGACTGCTGAGAACCAAATCCAGAACAACCTGGCTAAAATCATGCCTGAGTAATTTGCCCCCTTGAAGGATGATAAAAGAATATACACAGGTCTTTAGTAGGAGTCTGTTTGAGAGAATAATTATTACAATATGTGCTAGAAAAGAGCCATAATCATAGACCATAAAAACAGGCCATGACTCTTGACGGATCCATCAGACCAGATCATACTAGTTGATAAAAGTAACGAAACCTGTGTGGTGGATGGTGCCATTTAGTAAAAAAGATCAGAAACACCTACACAGAAAGGAATGAACAAGGGCGTGCTGTATGCAGGGGCTAAATGTGGGAACTGCAAAGCATCAAAAAAAGCAGTTGAGGTTCACACACTTATATATACACACCCACTCATCCCAGTCCTTATAAATCACTTAAAATTTATTTTAGTTTGGCAACTGACATTTTAGCATGGGACACTTACTCCAATATTATGTTACAAAACCTTTGTTCCATCGCATCCATAGCTTATAATAATTCGATATGGATTCATTTATGTTTAAAAGAGAAAATAAAAATGACAGCAGCTGAATATCAGCTGAAAATATTGATGACTGAGCTCTGAACTATTTGAGGACAGGTTCTGTATTTCTCTGATTGACCATATTCCTCCACATATAACATCTGTGTTATGAACTGTCAATAAGACAGACAAATCTGTGTGGCTGAACCCTGTCTTATCTCCTAGTACCAGCATCACAAATTAACTCTATGGTATTCGCTGTAATTCATATGTAGTTTGTAACCAGTAATGCAGATGTGGTAGTTAATGTTGCTATCAAGCAGAATTACTAAATTATAACATTATGCACCTCAATATGGAGAAAATCAATATTTATCAAGACTTGTTTTTGTAGTAGAGTTGTGATCTTGGTAAGAAAAGTAATCTTCCCTCAAACTTAGATGGCAGAACTCCTTCCTCACTTTGGTTATTAATGGCTCTTGTAACTGTTACCAGTAGCATTTGCAATTCTGGCCACTTCGATGAGTTGGACATCAGTCTGATCATTATCACCAACTATTAATGTTGGATGTAGGCTATAGGTGTATTCATGTAGTATGATCCCATTTTACTATCATGTCATCTTAATACTGGTTAGTAATATGATTTATGACATTGGCATTCTTCCATTATTTTAGCAACTGCTAACAAAACTTCCTCCTACCTCTAAACACACATTAAATGCACACTTCTTTCTCCATACCCTAGAGATAACTTACAGGGCCTCCCAACTGATCAGTGAAACACAGGAATGAAGGAGATGACACCTGACATTCCTACCCCTGTACAAAGGAGGGGAAATTGAGGCCTGAAACAGGTAACCTGCCTGAAAATGGTCAGGCAGATTATGGCTGAAGAGGCAGCAATCCCCGAGAAAGCATTTAAAAAGTTTACTAGGAAAATAGGGCATCTTTAATTAACAGAAACCTAATTGCTCTGTTGTTCATTCTGTCTTGGATCAAAAGCGTTTTCTCAGCTTTAAAGTCACCTTTTATGTTGAGACTTAGAAGAAATTTGTCAGCAATCACAGAGGAATAGAAGGATGTTCTATGATAAGTGATGACAAAATCAAACTAATGAGATTGGAGAAGTTATTTTAATTACCCATGACTTTCTGAAGATAACACAAATGGAAAATGTCTAAAGATAATCTGTTTTTCTCTCCTTCTAAGTATAATAGAATGGAAGACTTTTAGCAATATTCCTGATACCACAGAGCTATCAAATTATGCTAAGTTACTGTGTAGATAAGTGACCAGTCAAAAGTCATCCCAATTGGATAATGCAAAGGCTGTTGGTGAAAATTGTGTGATGAGATGGAATAATGTTGTGAAGAGACTTTACAATTTTTATTTGTTTTGTGTTTAATACTTGACACTATCGTCCTATTTAAAGTTTGTCTTTTTAATGTCTTAGAAAAGTGAAAGTATGTATTTCACAAACAATATAGGTGGAATTCATTAGTGTGTGGGGGGGAGGGTGTGATGATCTATAAAATAAAATTGCTTTTCTGCAAGACAGTCAAGGTTCCATGGACTAATTCCATAAATTGGAGTAGAGCCCCTTCTTTTAGGGATGGCGGTGACTTGAAAATACTTTGGATTCATCTATAAGCAGTATTTTATGGAAACAAATTGCTTCCTGTGATCAGAAACTACTGTAAGCAGTAGTTTTTAGTTTCCTGGTAGAGTCATGTCCCACCAGCAACACATGTAACTTACATAAACTAAATTCTAGAACTGGCTAAAAGTATGATTTTAAAAATGAGCTAAATTGTATTACTTAAATTTGCATAGTACTCCTTATGATATTTAATTTTTTAAAATTTTACTGTATAAGGTTGCTTATCTCATAACCATATATACTGTACTCATATCAGTTTGGAAAAAAATTGCAATTTTGATTATACTCAGTGTTTGCCCAATGAACATTAGGAGCCAATGCAAACATAAGGAAAGACCCCTCTGTAATTTAACATATGTCTGCGACCCTAACATCAGGTTTTCCTCTGCAGAGCTACCTTATTCCAGATAATTTATCTAATAGTAATGTCAGGTCAGCCTGTTAAAACAAATTTACAAAATGTCCATGGTAATATGTTTTGCACTTTCTCATTTCTATTTGCCCCTCCATAACTTGGAAACATTTTGGTTTTGTCTGTGATGAAAGGGAATGGAAAGCCATGATTTACCACCAGAGTCATTTCAAAGTTGGCTGTAGGTGGCTGTGTGCCCCAGGCTGTCTCTGAAGCTCAGTGGAAGGATGGTGGGTGAATCGTCTTACCTGTCACTCAGGTCAGGGGTGATCTGCACACGAGCAAAGTGGGCCCGGGCCTTCCTCTTGCTGTACTAAGTAGCTGATCTCATAGGACCAGCGTGAACTTGGTCTTGGAGTCTTCTTGCAACCACCCAGCTGGTGGTTTTCCACAGTCAGTATTCTTGCTACAACAGTCCCATTTCCCTGCAAAGTACAATAAATGTTCACTCAGGAAAGCACAGTCAGAACTTGTGTAGGAGCCTAAGGAACCCCTGTGTTCATGGGCATGTTTTTCTCATCTGTTTTGGGAACTGGCATAGAAAGGAGGCTACAAGTGATTGCCTTTCTCATATTTCCCAGGCAGAAGGAGATATTCATGACTTTCTGTTTTCCTCCCTCCCTCTCTCCCAACCCTTCAGCTTTATGAGGAATCCAAGATGAATTTGGAGCAGGAGAGGCCGTTTGTCTGCAGTGCCCCAGGCTGTTCCCAGGTGAGTGTCCAGATGCTCTGCTCGCACTTCTAGGGGATGGACCTTCTGACAGGGAAGCAGCTCTCACTTAGCAGTCACACTTGCCCTGCAGTGGCCTTCTTCACCAAGATACTATCCAAGTCCCCTCCCATTCTTTACCATTACCACCGTTATCATCATGATTATTTTCCACGTTGAGTAGTTTGGACTACTTCCCTCACAGACTCTGAAATACATCAATGTTGGTCATTTCCACCCATAACTTTCCCTTGGAAGTAAGCCAGATGCATCCTGCTAACCAGATGTTCAGGGTTGTTATATCAGAAAGAGGGGAGAAGAGTGATTCTTTTTACAACAGTCACTTGAGTGCTGAACCTTTAGATTGCCAGTGAGATAGCTCAACAACAGAGATGGAATTTTCTTTTGTTTTTCTCTTTGAGTACAATAAACTCCCTACAACTCATATAGATTCCAGTTTTTTTTTTCCATTTACTTAATCTTTAAAAGGGGAAATTGTTTTGCTGTGCTGGATAAAACATTGTGCAGCATCTGATGGCTTCCATTCAGGGGGCTCCTTGTGGGTGCAGGGCTTAATGTAGAGCCTGCACACAGTTAAGTGCTCAGTTCAGGTCCACTACTGTCACTGTTATGGCTACTGTAATGACTACTGTCATATCGGGCCAATGTCTCTGAAAGAAATAGGAACCATCTATCACCTACAACCAAAGATAAAGATAATATGTTATCTTTGGAACTTGCTGGTGACATTTTTCTATACTTGATCCTCTGTATACCTCCTCATTCTAGTCATTGGAAAATGAGCATGTGTGGTTGATCTCATGCCAAGATTCCCATTTTATGGGATGTGGAGGAAGCTACAAACTCAGAGACAGCATCTCTCTAACGGGTAGTTAAGCTTTCTTTCTCCAAACCACTCAGTGGTTCAGGGGGGACCTATGCAGGTGGGGCTGCTCAGCATGGGTGGCGCTGTGTCTAGGAATCAGTGAGAGGTGATTCCCCTGGAGGGCTCTTCCTACTACATCTCTGGAGGGAATTTATGGAGGATTCTGGGAGTCCTTTGGAGGGAAGAAGCTCTAGGAGTAGGAGACGTCGTTGCTGGTGTTGCCTTGCCATGTTGCTGGTGACGTCAGCCACTGAGTGAGAAAACAGAGTCCTTTACTCAGGTTCTGGCAGGCGCTTTTGTGTAAGTGTTGATTTGTAACCTATAAATCAGAAAAGCAGTAGAGAAAATTATTTGGAATTTTAACTATTTTCAGCAGGTCATTTTTGGAGGTTATTTTGAAGTAGTAAAGAATGGGAAAACACAGATCCATTAGTCACTGGGAAAAATTCTACGAGAGCAGGACTCTCATTGTGAATGCAGAAAATTGCCTTCTCTAATTATGATAAAATGGTTTCCGCCTTATTTTTCTTAAAGAGAAGTCTCAATAGCCAGGGGGAATCAGATAATTTGAGCAGTTTGCTTTGTGAGCAGGTCATACATTCCATTCAATTTGAGTCACTCAACATATTTTTGTGGAGTCTGCTTAGATGTGCAAGGTAGGCATCCTTGTCTTCACAGAGCTTCCAGTCTAGGCTATGACACATTAAATTTGTAACCACATTATGACTGAATCAATTAATTGTGAATTGAAACTTTTCCTTAAGGAAGAGCACGGGTCCCTTGAAAAGTGTCATGAAGGGGTTTACCAGGCAGGAGAATAGGGGCTCCTCTAAGCAAGGTGGGGGGGGGCTTTAGGGAATGGCTTCTCAAGAGACTAGCAAAAGCTAAGAGGATTCACAGTAAGTCAGGATCCCAACAATGTCTAAAGCGGAGAATTATAGTAAAAGAAGGCCTTTGAGTCCTTCTTACCTAGATAAGTCAGAGTGAAGAGTCAGGAGAACTCATTGAACTGTATGGCAGAATTTCCCATACATGGCACTATTAACATATGGAGCAGAATAATTTTTATTGGGGTGAAGGGGACTGTCCTGTACACGATAGGATATTTAGCAGCATTCATGGCCTCTACTTACCAGCTTTCAGTAACATTCCTTAGTTGTCACAACCCCAAAATATCTCCAGGCATTGCTTAATGATTTTCCCTTGGTTTTAAACCAAATTGCCTCTGGTTGTGAGTGATGGTCTGATGGTTTTCCCTTTGGTATTAGCCTCCCTTTTAGATTCCATCACTTCTGGGGTGTCACCTACTTCCGTTTGATGCCCCCCATTCTATTTCATGCATTGCAAAAAGCCATATTTTCTCCTGTTTGGAATCAGGCAGAATATAAGTAAATAAATGCCACAGACATGTGGTCACTGGTGTCAGCCTCTGCTAGAGCCAGGACAGTGAGAGTTCTGAGAAGAGACTGTTGGACTTGGCAATTGGGTGCTTGCCTTCGACCTGTGAGAGAGAAGCCCAGGCAGGGCCAACTTGTAAGGGATTAATGAGTGAACCAGTGGGTGGTGAGGAAGTGGAGGTGGCCAGCACAGAGGACTCTTTCAGGAGTGCTAGGGAGGGACGGGAAGCATCGTGATATAATGGTAGCCTGAGAAGGAAGCAGCTTGAGAGAGTTTCTTTTTAAATTAAAGGTTAGCCAGGTTGGATTTAGTTCAGGGCAAGGAGGATGCTGGCTTGAAGGGCTACTACTGATCACCAGAATATGTGGGGTGTAGAGGATCTTGAGGGAGAGAGGGAGTTGATTATCTCACTGAGACAAGAGAGAAGTTGAATGTGAAGTTGAATGCAAATTCTGAGATGGGAATGGTTATAAAGGTGGCGGGGGTGCATTTTGAATGCCTGAACTTCTCAGTGAAGGAGAACCGGTCATTTTCTTCAGTACACTGAGCAGACGGAGAAGTTTGGGAAAACATGAGAATTAAGGATTTATATAGTTTTTTTTGGTTTTTAAATAAAGTTCCAAATCTCTCCCCTTCCAGTTACTGCCGAATTTAAATGTGAAGATGCATCAAAAACTCAACATCTATTTAATGTGGAAGTGTTTCTTTTTTCTTAACAAGTTGTTATAAAACTGCATCTTTCAATTGAAATAGCTTTGAAATTGAGAAAATATAGTAGTTGTACAATGATTCCAAGGTTCTCCTGGTTAGATTATAGGAAATCACAGTCTAGTTGGTTGTGATTTGGACATTAATGTGACAACACTCTCTGGTGTAGGATGTACGTGAGAAGAAAGGATGGCAGGAACTGAAAAAAGGGTGTAAATGTGACTGGGTTGGGAGTGGTAGAAGGGTGAGTCCCTTTTTCTTGTTGGAAAGAAGCTTTGCTGAAAATACTAGTTTTTTTTTTTATATTACAGCTCCATAGACATTAGTTTTGACCCAGAAATGAAGAGAAATAAATTTCTTTCTAGTATCGCAGTGCCAAGTGTTAATTACATTATTCCTTTGTCCTTCTTATTAACCAAGTAACTTCACTCAGATTTGTATCTGCTATATACTCTACATTTTGGTTATTTATACTTGCTACTATTTTTACTACCTACCTAAAAATGTCACAGATGTCCTGTAGTATCATTTTTGTGAGATAATTATTTGATAACACTTATAATATCTTATAATATAAAATGAGATGCTATGGAAATTATTATAATTCAATAACTACTTTGGTTAATTTTCTATCTTTGGTTATTATTTTACAGAACAAAAGGTTTAGTTTACAAATGTAAAATAAAGGGTATCATCATGTTATTTATATATCATGTTGATTAGATATACTACAGAAAACACTGAAACAAGGATTTCCACAGAAGACTAGGACATTTAACCCATTTCTGAAACCACCATGTTATTGTTACATATTTGATATTGTTATTGTTACATATTTGATATTGTCACTATATGTTGTTATAGAGTATTAAAAGAATAGATGAACCAGCAGCAAAAACCCAACTGTCACTGTAGATCATACTTCTATATCTTCAGAAATCTGGCATAATTAACATACTTTGTGAATTCTATCCTGTCCAACTTATATGATACAAATGACAAATGAGTGATGTTTATTTGAAGAACTGTCTCTATAATATCCCATAGATTTAGTCCAGTTAATTCCCTCATTTTTGTGGACATAAATCTATACTATTTATAGAAGATACTTTTATAAGGATAACTGAAATTTATAATGATTGTCCTGAGAAACAGGGAAAATGAGTTTCTAAATTGTCAGGTACTCTATTTAGTTCAGCTATTAAAACATACTAATCAGTGTCAGGATTGGTTAGGCTCTGCAACCATAACAAATTATCCCTCAAGTTTCTTAGAACAACAAAGACTTATTTCAGTTAGCTATGGGTGTTAGTATATTTCTGTTGTAAACTGACAGGACATTCTTTATAATGCTTCAGTATTCAGAAATTATCTTTGTAATCATTTGGAAATTTAGGACTGTGAGGGGCCACTTTTTCTAATGTGAATTGACTTACTAAAGGGGGAAGCCAGGAAGAATTTTAGAAGGTCTTGCATCATGAAGTAGATGCTCACATCTGGGTGACATGTCATTTCTATTTGTGAGTCAATGGACAAACTAGTCACATGGCCCCACCTAATCAGAAGAGGATCAGGAAATCCAATCCTATCTGTGACCAGAAATCAGATAGCTGAAAACTTTTGGAATAGAATTTTGACAACCACCTAGTTGTCAAACCACTCTAGTATCATTTTCTAGAAGTAAAAAGCATAAAAGTGCTGGCTTATTACACTAAAGAGTGTGTAAAAATAAACATAACTTGTCATATTACTGTAAATCATGTATAATTATTGAAAAATCAAATGAGAGTGTATCAAATCTTCATACAGAGAGACATATTACACTGATGTCATGGTGAACATTCACAGATATGTTTGTCAAATAATTAAACATGACATGTAATGCTTTCCAAAATCTGACGTGAATCAAACTTCTTTTCCTACATTATGCATTACACCTACTTTTAGTTAATTTATAGATAATGTCATAATGTATAGCATGCTTAATTATGCCACAGACTTAATTTTATACCATTCTGTCAACAGTAACTACTAGAGAGAAGTCCCAAAGAGTTTTTTAAAAATCTAGTGCTAATCAAGTATAAATTCACTTTTCTTTTTGGACATGGGTTTCTCACGGGTATTGATAGAAGAGAGATAATTTCCTTTTTTGGATTCTTTGTGATCATAGTCATTCATTCAAACATTTTTATTCTAGAAATGTACAGCATATTTCCATTGCTTTCATATTACTTTAATACTTTTAGTATCATTCGTTTCTCTGTCTTTTTCAGTCTTTAACTAAATACAGAACTTAAAGTTTACCCTCTGAAGCAAATCTCCACATAAGAAAATATATAGTTTACTGATGAGTCATCACAGCTGATTCTCTTCAGGCACTCTGTGAGAAGTAGAGACCTTCACAGGGAATTCTCAGGAAAGGTGTCGGGATGCAGAAAAGGGGACAAAGACCTTCTATATCTTATGGGTGTTCAGCCAGACTTTTCTTGCAACACAAATATGCCCATGGTAAACTGTAACAGAAATAACATAGCATATATTTGGATGGAATTCAAAAGAATATCCCAGAACATTTATTCACATAATTTGTCATTTACAAATTATGTGTCATTTTCACATAATTTGTCATTTTACTTACTCATGCCTTCATACTTTTTTAAAATTGCTTTTTTTGTTTGTTTTTCCTGTCTTATTTGTAAACTGAATAAATTTTTCCTGTATGATGGCAAATATATTTTACAAAACTGAACGGCTTCTCTCCCCTCTTTCTATTTGTCTGACAGCGCTTCCCAACAGAGGACCATCTGATGATTCATAGGCACAAGCATGAAATGACTTTGAAGTTCCCTTCAATAAAAACAGACAATATGTTATCAGGTAAGGAGCCATCAGGCAAAGAGGATTTGGTTATCTGTTGAGCCATGTATGTGAACTATCTTATGTTATGATAGGATGATTTTCACAAATAAATTCTGTGCCTTGAAAATATAGGCTTTTAAGGTATATCAGAGACTCAAAATAATGGTAAGTAGAGATGTTACTAGCAAATGGACTGATCACTCAAATAATTAATAGCATGACATTTCATGTTCTGGAATGTGAAAGATTTTCTATAAAACTTGGCTCCATATAAGAATTTTTTAAAAAATCACGTATCAATAACTATTTAGGCAGCAATTACTAATTAAGCATCTGTAATGCATACAACACTTGTTCTGACTGTCATGGCAGTGCAAAGATGTGTGTGCGCTCTGTTCTTGGGTACCTCACAGTACTCAATGCATGTGAGGACTGTGTGTGATAGTATCAAAATGTGCTGTAAGAATGCTATCAGAGTTTTGTATTAGGCGCTTTCTTTCTGTAGTGAGTTGCTCAGTGAAGATGACCTTAAGGAACAGAACCTGACTCATAGTGAGAATGCACAGAAACACAGCAAGTGTTCAGCAAATGTGACTGAAAATAATCACAACGGTAATCAGCTCATCAGTTAATTACCATCCCTTCCCATTTTGAGAGGTTGTACAGTATGTTAGAAAGAACGCAGGACTGGCAGTGAGGAAGCTTGAACTCCAGCCTGGGCTCTGCCTGCACCTGCTAGACAGCTCTGAGCAAGTAAGTGAAACTTCTGGGCCTCAGTTTCTTTGACCATAACAAGGGAATGATTTTATCTGCCCAACCTATTCTGCAGTTTATTGTGTAGATTCAGTGAAAGAAAGTGTTTCATAAACTCTAGCAGAGTAACTGAAGTATTTCCAGTTACCCTTCTTAGGCCAAAATGTTTTACCAGAGCCACTTCTATTTGACATCACAGAGAAGTAATATGCCCAAGAACATGTTTGAAATGCTATCAGAAGGAGGTGAAAGCCCTGGCAAGCCTGGCTCATATAACTTAGCATTTCTATGGCACTTATATTTTACAAGTATTTTATTATCTCTATTATTAGTAAATCCGTTTAGAGTTTTGTCAGACAGGTTATTATTACAACCCATGTTTTACTGATAGAGCAGCAGGGGCATAGAGAGATGTGTCAGCTTTCCCAGGCTCACCAGGCAGGGCAGAGCTGAGGGCCTTTCCTCTTTCCTGCTGTATTCCTCCACTGATAGGGACCAGCTGCTGCATTGTCAGGTGTCATGGGATTGTGTGCACGCTCAGACACCCTGGGCAAAGCCTGTGTTTATCTCCACAAACCCACCAGTGACTGGTTAACAGAGCAGGTGCTCTGGGCTGCAGCCTTTCTAGGTGCAAAGACAGCCTGTTCTTTTCCCTCTGCCCCCTGCACTGCCTCTCTCTCAGCCTGAACATGCTTGGCTCTTCAGAAACAGTTTTCTTTAGTCTACTAATGAGATATAGAAACTTGAATTTGTAAGAATTATAAAAACCTAGAACAGTTAGAGAGGGTGGTCTGTTCTTTTACTTTTATCATTTACTGAGCTCTTTATTTTTCCCAAGTAGGATCATTTACCTAGGTTTTCTGTTGGTAGGGGTGTTGGAGGTGAGTGTTAGGGATGTAATTATGTGGAGTTATTACTACCTTAGTGGTCAGCACTAGTGCATGTCTTTCAGGTTCTACCAGGAGCTCTATCTGAAAGTCTGAAAAAAGGCAGTTAAAAATGTGTGACCACTTCTAAATATTGCTTATAAACAGATTTCTGAATAAGTTTTTACAGCTGTTCAATTGTTCTTACCAGATCCTTATTCATAATTCTTGTTCGTACTTCAGCAATTGGCAGAGGCAGGTTGAAAATTATTGGGAGATATGCCACTCTAAATTTGTATTATATGATAATTAGAATGAGAAAATGAAGCATGAGATAAATATAAAGAAAATAGCATGAATAATATATTAGCAAAATTTCTTTTGCTTTGTCATGGTTTCAAGGTGGTAAATGAAGTTGAAATTTTAAACTTGATACCATCTTTGTTGTAGAATTTTTCTTGCTGGAATTGAAAGTGCTATCTAGTCCAGCTCTCTAACTTTGTACTTAGGGAACTGAGGTCTACTGTCTGCAATATGGCATTGTTGTCAACACTGCATTCTAGTAAGTGATCTAGTGGGTATTTGTCTTTGTTATGTGTATTCATCTCAAACTGCATTTTTGTTTTAGGACATTAGATTATGATTGCAAATATGCAAATATTTAGCATATTGTTTTAGCATATTTGATTATGGTTGCAAATATCCAAATATTTAGGTTTGAGTTTATCAAGAGCTTGGTAATCAGCTTTTATTAAAATACATTCATTAAAACTTTATTTCTTAAAATACCTGGTCTATTTTATGTGTTATGAAGATCAGCGATTTCATACTATTTGAAATTTAAGAATGATAAATAATATGGTAAAAATCAAATCTTAAATTGCAGATATCTTCAGGGCAAAAAATCTTCTTCAAGTCCTGAGAGGAACTTGTAGTAGTGTTCTTTTTTTTTTTTTTTCAGGTAGTATTCAATTACACTAAATTTCATTTCTTATGAATTGGAGTTTTACAAATATTAAAAAAAATAAAATATATTAAGTATGTTTATTATTAATTTCAGGATACCTGGCTTATCTATATTTTGAAAAATCACTTCTTCCTTCATTAATTGCAGGCATTATAGTTGGGGAAGTTACTAAGAGGCCACAGGTAAACTCTTCAAGCATAAGAGTTCTATGTAAGAGCGGAATAATTTTTTCTAGCTTTGTCTTAAGGTCCATCTGGACCAGATAGAATTTACTACCTCAAATGCCAACATATGATCTTTAGTTTGTCACAAGGTAGGTAATCAAAGTGACAGACTTTTTGATGTTTATTAAGACAGGTCTGCTGTTATGGATAGAAAGTCTCTCATTCTAAAGATATAGTATTACTAAGGCATGAATGGAGGTGGCGGTGTTGGAATCTGAGAGCAAAGGCTTACAGCCCTTATTATTTTCATTGTTTCATCCTTATTTGACCGACATGAATCCAGGACACTGACACAATCATGGACATGAGTCTTTCCCTTCAGCTGTTCTCTTTCTGATAGAAGGTATTTTCATGGTGAGGGAAGTTGGCATATCGAAGATTTTAGTTGCTACATTCAAAAAGAGAACCTGTTGAAGACCATGTACTTCCACACACAGGTTTCAAAATTGCCAGCTATTATGTGATACAAGATCTATTTGATTTAAAAAATACCATATTTCTGTTTTAGGGGCAAAGAGCATAGCTCTAGCATCTATTTTATTTTCTTATTTTTTTTTTTGAAATAGTAGAGAAGACAGATTATTTTAACTCAGTAAAACCTTTACTTCACTTTATGATATGTGCAGTTCCAGAGGAAAATGGAATAAAGATGTTAAAATAAGGCCAATTACAAATTTCCAAATCTTGTAGTATTTTCCAAATCTTGCCTTATCAGATGTCCCCAAGTCCACTTCTTTACACGGTTCCTAGATTCTGTATAGGAAAAAAAATGCTAATCAAAGTACAACTTTAACTTTATTGTTAAATATTTTGCAAGAACTTTCTGTGTGTGTGTGTGTGTGTGTGTGTGTATGTATGTGTGTTGATGGAATATGGTTAAAATATTCACTAAAAGATGACAGATTTTTCTTCATGAGAGGGAACCAGAAGTTCAAGAGTGTTTCAGACCTTTTCTAAAAGAGAAGACCCAATAAACATATCAGGTGTGAAGTCTGGGCATACGAGACTATGCTGCCTTTAAAGCCTAGTAATTAGATATCACAGCTCAATTAATTTTATTAACAAATGTTGTGTGTTTGGAGGGACATTAAGACAGGCACCTGCTGAGGTGAGGGAAGAGGGACTGAAATTGTGTCTCTTCTGCCTTTTACTCATTCATTCAACAAACATTGGGTGGCTGCAAGGATCCTATTGTGTTAGGTAGAGCATTGCCATAATGAACAAAACATGAAGTCCTTCATGAAGTCATGAAACTTAGTATGCTCTTTGTGGGGGGTGGGAAAGAAGAGACATAAACAACAACAACAACAAATCCCAGAAAGACAAGAAAATAGCAGTTAGTGAAAAGTATAATGAAAGAAAAACATGACAGTGTGACCCAAGTGACCATTAAGTCCCCTAAGAGAAGTTAGACAAAGCTTCTCTGCCTGAGTGACATTTCAGACAAAACCTGATGTTCACTTTGTAAGTTCAGGGGTTCTTTCTTTCTAACTTCTGAATATACTGGGTTTGGAGGCAAAAAACAAACAAACAAACAAACAAACAAACAAACAAACAAACAAACAAACAAACCCAAGAGTAAATGTGGTATAATTGATTGTATCTTAAACTGACACATAGAAGAAAGGCAAAAGAAATTGGTATCCTCTGTCTTCCTGAACATCATTGGACTGGATTATTTAACATAAAGGACAATATGGCCTTTTGAAACACCATTCTGTCTCTGGAGTAGTTCTAGAATTAAGGACAATCTCTAGTTTTAGGGAGAAGCAATAGTGCTACTCATTGAAGTAGAAAATGTGTCTTAAAAAAGATTATCACCAACTAGACAATCTCAGATTTCTTGAGAAATCCACTGCACATGACTTTTTGCTGTAAATGCTACTTAACAATCCATAGGCATTTTATTTTTACAAGGAAGTAAGGTTGTCACATTTCACCTAAAATTATCTTTAGAAAGAGCTGGGATAGGCTCTCCCTGGTGGCGTAGAGGGTTAAAGCAGAGCACTGCAAGCTGGCCACAGCCAAAACAGTGCCAGTTTGATCCCATGTCCTGAAGGTAATCTACATGGCACAGCAGACCTCTCTTGTCTTGCTTACTGCTCCCTTTAGCAATGTACTTCCTCAATCTGTCTGTTCTGCTCCCCTCTCTGGTGAATTCTCTCATCACCCCTGCACCTCTGGTCTGTACTCCAGTTCTGTATACAA